AATGGAATGGGGTATTGTTGTTATTTAGGCTTCCTTGCTTCCTTTAGATTTTATTTTTTAAATGTTAGGAAATGCTTTAGTTGTCAGCCAACCTTTTTCCATGTCAGGATTTTAAGTTAAATTCTGTCAAGTTTCTTCCCTCCTGGTTTATTTATTTTTTATTTGATAATTTTTTTATTTTTTTTTTTTAATTAGTATTATTTTCCCAGAGATATAAGGATTCTCAGTGTAATTGTATGCTGCATATAAGTTTAAAAGGCTTGTGCATCCAAGTTATGATAAACGTTCATGATACAAGAACAATAAATATTGTGAAGAAGTGTTCTTAATAGAAGTAATGAAGCAACTGTCTCCTACGACAAGGGTACATAAGATTATCACTTTCAATCTGCAATACTGCCAGGGACAAGAACCTAGAATTTGTGTCAGACTAAGGTTGAATTTAAATCCCCTGCCTTCTTAGCTTCAACTAGTATTTCACATTACATAGCAAGTTGCCATATTTGAGTTACTTCCTCTTCCCCATCTTTCAGGAATTTTAGATTTTGATTTTTTATTGAACAGCACTGAAATCAAACACAACTTTGGCATTAGACAGTTAGGTAGTTCAGGTCAATTGGGAGCAGGCAGCTAATCCAAGTGTGTTGGTAAAGCTAAACTTTATTATACAGCTTGGATATTCTCTGTTTAAGTTACCTTCAGCTACCCAGTCTCCCATGTAGTTTCACTTCAATTACATCCCTAGGGTACATGTGTGTTATCTAAGCTAGCTTTTGGAATTGTATTCTGATTCCATGATAGTGTTTAGTAAACTTTTGTGATGATCATAGTGTATAGGTGCAGGAAATTCCTGTTATTTGTCATCTGCGACAAGTAATGATTTGATGAATAAAGATTTGCAGTATCCCATAGGTATACATTATTAAAGAGTGTAATGTGGACCAGACTCTAATGTCTAGTGGTTTGATCAAGCATATAGTCTGTATGTATAGTCTAGAAATAACACTAAGAGGAGTTTATTCAGAAGAGAAATCCCGGTGTTGATTACTTTAATAATGGTGTTATTATTGCTCAGTCGAGTTCAGAAAGGGGTTCATCTGGACAGAGAATGCTTGCCACACATTTAGGCCAGGGCAAAGAGATAGTTCATTAATCAGATAAGGCTAGTGAAATTGTGGTTGGTGAAAATTAGCATCTTATAACATTGTAAAATACAGTGAAAAATATAGCAATAGCAATAAAGCAATCCAATCTTTATGATTTCTAGAAATTATTCCATATGTTATGTAAAATTAACAACTATATTTTGTATAGAATTTGATATTGAAGGACATGTAGAAGGCTAGAAAAATTAGGTTTAGGTGACATTGTTGTTAAAGCGCGTGGGAAGTTTGTATGTTTGTTTTACCATTTTCTGAAGTCTGTATTTGTCATTGATATGGTATATCAATATAGAAATAGACTTTCTTTATTGCAGAAACTCCATAACATCTTGGTAGATATTTGATAACTGCAATAACGATAACATTTTTGATATTTATATTTTTTCACAATATTCAACATTCTGTAATACACCCTGCACTTGCTAGGCAGTGTATAGGAAGAGGATCCTGAGCATGGAAATATTGTCCTCACATAAGCTCATGCTTTTTCAGTCATAGTTCATGGATGGTACTTTACACACACAATTACTTATGGAAATATTGCAAGAGCCCTCCAAGGGTTTTGTACTCTAATGGCAAGTCATATCTGTCAATCCAGCCTTCAACCAATTTTTTTGTGATGTCACCTCACTCTTGACCCTCAGTCAGATTTTTCTATGACAGCATATTCCTGTTAGCAGGACCTCAGGCATGATGTGATGGTCATGTCATTCAAATTCAAGGGGGTTAGTGGTTTTGTGACTTTCAAATGTTCAAAAGTTCAAAACTTGAAAAGGGTTGATTAAAAGGAACATTTCAATCTATCACTTGATATAGTATTGATGATTTTTAGTTGATTGCTTGAGAGAGAAGGCTCACAAAATGATATAGAATATTTGAAGGAGTTTTGATTATAATTAAAACTGTTTTCACTTATTATTATCAGTGAAAATCATGTTTATAATTGCTTGGTTTTGATTGTGGCAACCCTGACAAAAATATCTAGTAACTTCCCTCTACAGTATATTGTTATTTGTGGTATGGCTTCTATTCCAATTGTCACTTCTTTTTACAATATTTAATACCTTCACCCAACAAAAATAGAGCAAAGAAATTAACTCAACTTACTTAGATAGTTACAGACACTTGTGTCCAAGGTTACTATACTTGGGGAATCCTTGGAGCAGGTGAAATTGTCTTACGGAAGTTACAAGGCCAGAGAAGTTTACAAGGTGCGAGAGGTTCCAGAATGGTGTGCTTGCTTTTGATGCACTGTTGTGTGATTTCTTATTTCCGTGGTTATTTTTTGGAGAAAACTAACCAAAAGTAACTGATATTGATTAAAAAAAAAAAAAAAT